CTTGTAGTGCTTGTATCGAGTCTTTAACTCTTTTCCTTTCGACAATACTAATCTCATGCGCTTCCAAAGAACCAACCAAATCTTCCAGTTTTAGGATTTCAAGTTGGTTATATTCTTGAATAGTTACGATAACATGATCAAAAAGAGAGGTCAACGTACTCATTACTTTCTCAATTATCATCTTGTCAGATAGGGTTTCATCACAACCTTTCATGAGATGGACGAGTTTCTATACCTTCGACACATACTCTGTAATCTTTCCGTCTTCTTCCATCGAAAACAATTCATATTGCTGATGCAAGGTCTTCAACTTGATAACCTTGAGTTTTTCACCTCCTTCATAATACTTGACAAGAATATCCCATGCCTCCTTCACCGATTTAGCATGAGAGATCTTGTCGAAATTCTCTGCATCGACCGCCGTTTGAATGCAATACGTAGCCTTGCAGTCCTTCTTCTTGGCTTTGTTGTGGGCAATTTTCTGCGCGTCAGTTGCATTTGCAACCAGCGTTGGAACGCATGATAACCACTTCTAGGGTTTCATGAAAGCCAAACAGAGATTGCATCTGTTTTCTTCACTGAGTCCAATTCTTTCCATCAAGAGTTGAAAGAGAATTCAAAATACTATTAGTATCATTCATCTTCACAGCGATTGATTGACAACAATCCATAATTCCGGAAACACGATCTCTAACGTTTGATTCTTGAAAATACGATCAAGAATCTAACCAGAGCTCTAGATACCAATTTGTTAGTGCGTGAGACACTTTTAGTGAAAGTGAAAAAGAGAATAAAGAAATAAAGATTTTATTATTGAATTGAATCATTACAAACTGATTTTCAAACTAGTCTATTTATATACATCTAACTTGTACACTAAATATGCTAATAAATCCTAATTGAACTTAAACTTAGATTATACAACTTAAATTATATCTAATATTATATATAATATTTTAAAAGAAGACACATGTATTGGTATGGGGCATGTGGTCCCACTATGTTAAATTTTTTTGAATACTATTATACATTTATATAATAATTAATATAAATAATACTTAACTAAAATAATGTAACTTAAATTACTTGAAATAATAGTATTGCTATAAATATATTATTAAAAATTAGATTTGAAATTATGAAATATACGAATAATTGTTTAGATTCTTATTTGAGATGAGTGTGACTTTTTTATTTTAAAATCAAAATATAAATGTAGTCGAATTGATTTTGTGTTTAACTCAAAATAATTTTTTATTAAATCTAAAAAAATAAAATATGATTTATAAGTTTTTATTTTAACATTAAGATTTTATCACCAAAAATCACAGACAGTAAATCATATCATTATTATTAATTTATATACATAGAGATTGATAGATAAATATTTTTGTTGATAATAAAATTATAAAAATTACAAAAATAAAAAATTGAAAAAACTATAAACATTTTGTAACGATAAATCTCTTAAAAAATAAATATAATATATACTCTATCTTATTCAATTTATAAGAAAAATAATTTATATATGTAATATTTATGATTTATAAATAAATGATAACAAATTCATAAATTAATATACTCCCGCACAACTTAAAATCTATGGCTCCTTTCTTACACATTAATATTCATTTTTCAATCAAATTTATCACTCTTATTCACACTTAGTTAAGTACAACGATATAATTTAAAATTGTCTGAAATTATCAAAATATATTTATATTTTGATCGAGAAATCTTGTTTTGACTAAATATAAATGTATGTTCAAGTTTTTCCTAATATTCAAAGCCGAATTCTTGTTGATATTTGTCCGCACATGTTTCAAACTCACCTTATAAATAAATAAAATAATTTTTTTAAAAAGTAATTGTCTTTTTTCAATTCTTACTAAAAGATTAATTATTTTTTCTTATAATATTATTTTAATTAATACTATTTACATTAATTCATTAACTTTTATCTTTATTGATAAATTGAGATACATTAATTATATATTTGGTAAAAAATATAAACAATTGATAGTTTATAGCCGATTACTGATAGTAGATAATTTATAATTGATAGTTAAAAAATTGATTGAATTGTTAGATAAATTAGTGTTTATAATAATTGATATATATATAAAATAATATATATATATATATATATATATATATATATATATATATATATATATATATATATATATATATATATATATATATATATATATATATATATATATATATATATATATATATATATATATATATATATATATATATATATATATATATATATATATATATATATATATATAGCAAGATTATATTAGGAATGGAAGAAGAGAATAGGGAAAGTGAAGTGAAAACAAATTAAAAAATAATGAAGAAAAATTGTATTAGAAGATTCATAATTTCTTTTAAATAGAGAATTTGACCTTTTCCATTCAAGCATTTAAAATACATGTTGTATTTTAAATTATAATAAAATTGTGAAATACAAAAATGAATTTTAATTTTATGGTTAAATAAATTTTTGATTTTTCTAAATATTTTTAATTTCGTTTTTAGTCCCTCTAAGATTTTTATTTAAAGAATGACCTTCTTAAAAAATTAAAATTTTACTTTTCGTCTCTCCAGTAATTTAGCGACGATTTTTACAACTTAGCGATAGTTTTAGTGACATTTTTAACGCACTTTTAGCAACGGTTTTTATTTAGCGACGAAATTAGATATCATTTTAACTACAATTTTATCAATAGAGACTAAAAATTAAAATTTAATTTTTTAAAAAGGCTATTTTTTTAAAAAAAATTTGAAGGACTAAAAACAAAATTTAAGATATTTAAAAAATCAAAAATTTATTTAACTCTTAATTTTAATAATAAAAATAATACTAAAGATGACAAATTAAAGGCTATAAGCTCCCAAGGTATTTCAAATATTGAAAGAAAAAACATATATTAGTAAAAAAATCTACAAATTTGTTATAAAAAGAAATTTAAAAAAAAGATTTTAGCTTTTCAATTCACATGATTGGAAAAAAATTATGTTCGATAAGTGTTATTTAGTTTGTAGTTTTTTTTTTCGAATTTAAAGAGGGCAAACACACATATTACACCAGTCAATATCACAAACTCTTTGCACCTCTCTAAAACAAGTTTTAAAAAGTTCCTTTTCTACTTTTTTTTTTCTCTTCAAAAATCATTTATAGTAACTTTTAAATTTATTGTTTTTATCCATTTATATATTTATTATTTTAACAAAAATTCCATTCTTATTCTTATATTTTATTTTTATTTTAATTTAAATTAAAATAAGTGTGTAGTAACATTGCTGATTTTTATCGTATAATGTTAGACAATAAACTTTTTACATATTATTTTGAAATAATAAAATTGAATTTAAAATTATAATGATATTTTTTATATATGTTGTTAAATTTCTATAATATTATTAAATTAATTTTTATTGTATAAAAATAAAGATGTTATAAACACAAAAATTATGACTTTAAATGATAATATTTGAATTTTTTATTAAGTATGAATTGTATGTCGCTTATAAATTGTTATAAAAAAATAGATAAAATATTCATTTTGATCCTTTAAATATATTTCTGAATTTATATTGGTTTTTAAATTTTTTTTCGTGTTATTTTGATCTTTTAATTTTCAAAAAGTTTTATTTTAGTCATGTTTCTCTAATTAACGACGGAAAAACTTTGAAATATGTCGCTAAATTTGTCGTTAATTAGACAAAAATGACTCAAATGAAACGTTTAAAAAATTAAGAGATTAAAATAACACACAAAAAATTAAAAAATTAATATAAATCGAAAAGTATAGTTAAAAGGCCAAAATAAATATTTTACTAAAAAAAGTAAAAATTAACCGAATCATAATTTGAGTCTCTCTTTTTAACTTCTTACATTATAGTAATTTTAAATAGACGAAGGATCAATTTGGATTGATTTATTTGAATTAATGTTATGTAATAAATTTTGTGAGTTGTGACATTATTTAGAAAAGTTTATTAAAATACCTATAACATTATTTATAATTTTTTTAAATTTATATTTATAAATTTTCAAAAATAACTTATGAATTTTTAAAAAGTATTTATTTTAATGAACACGTGTGTTATAAATTCCAAATAGACTGTTTATTCAAACATGCTCTAAACGAAGCACTCCAACCAAAGCATCATAGAAATTGGATGAATATTATTCATTAATTCTTATTATAAAAGTAAATTCACTTTTAAAATAAATAATTAATATATTTGATTCATATATAATTTAGATATATTGATTATTTCATATATCTAAAAAATAAACTCTTTCTTATAAGAAAAATCGGAGGAAGTATTAGAGAAAAGTCTCAAAATAATTATTTAAAGTATTTAAAAGAAATTGATTTTTTTTTTCAATTCTTAAAAGAATATTAATTATTTTTTCTAATTATATATTTTAATTAATTTTATTTAAATTTTTTAACTCATTCTCTTTTACTTTTATTGATAAATAGAAATACACTAAAATCTCAAAAAATAAAATATTTTAAATAAAATTATTCACTCATTTTTTTACTTATACACTATTTTTGAAAATATTTGAATTGATTTACGATGTATAGTCAGTTTCATTTTTTAAAAATATTAAAAGTTTTAAATATTTATTTTTTTAAAATTGAAATAATAATTTTGATATCCTATAACATAAGCATATTTTATTCAAGATTAAAACATAATCAAAATTATAATTTTTTCAAAAAATTATATTTTAAAAATAATTTTTATAAAAACATATTTTAAATAAATTTAAAGTTAAATGATTTTTTGAAACTTCGATATCTAAAAGAAATTTTAATAAAAAAATGAAATATTTAATATAACATTTAAAAAATATTTATTTATACCAAATTTTCATTTTTGAAACTTATATGTGTAAAATAAAATTAGGTAACAGTATAAAAAAAATGATTTAAAAAGACAAAACGTAAGATTGAGTGATCCACACAAATCAAATCCAATCTGGTCCAACAACACCAACTCACCGCACCAAACCTTTTTTGTATTCCTTTTTTCCTGGTCTCTCTCCGTTTGTTCATTGGTTCTTCCTCATCGTCTTCGTTTTTCAACATCCATCTCTGCAACCCTTTATCATTTTCAGACGTGATTTATGCTTTCAAAACCTGGGTCTTCGTCAAAATCTCATCTTGGGGGTGCATGTCACCCTGCTGAGTGCTGACGCATACATTTTCTAAGATTTGATTTGTTCGGATTTCTGTTATTTCAATGGGCTGTTTAGATGGCGGGCGTTTCATTCTTGAGCTTGAAAATGGTATCAACAACGGTTGTTCTGAAATCGGAAAAGATGCTTCTGCCATTGAAGATGCTGTCAAGGTTTTGTTGCTCGGTCTAGGAGAGGATATTAACAGAGAAGGTATTAGAAAGACACCACTTCGTGTTGCCAAGGCCCTTCGTGAAGGAACAAGAGGTAAAAAGATGTTTTTTTTTTCTTACTCTAGAAGATATGTATGTGTTGTTGAAACATAGTTATCAACTAACTTAGCTGTAAAGTCTATGTTTGATCATGCTGTGAAGAAAATTGGATCTAATGTTATTTTGATGTTTATTAGCTGGATCTTTTTCTATCTTTCTTACTATGAAAATGTTTGAGAAAAAAAAGCTGATTATAGTTGAGGATTTATTTGTTATTTACGTACAGGTTTCTCTTTTTATGTACATGTTTGTCCTTTTCTTCTGAGTGGACAAAATTGAAGTTCTTGGATATTGGTACTGAATACTGAATAATAGTACTTGCTTGCTTAACCAAAAAGGGTATATATCTTTATACCCTTCTCTTCAATTGAAACATTACATCTCAAAATTGAATCTTTTAAGTACAGAAACGATGAAGGAAGGTAAAGGCTGAGTTTCAATTTAAATTTGATTGGATAACCCTTAAGTTACTCTTAAAACATTTTAAATTTAAGGGGTGATTTCGGTTTTTCATATGGTAAAACGCTAATGGGCTAGAACCGTAATCCTATCCCGCTATTTACCCTATAACGGCAAAGGATTGTGGGCCAGAAACCGCTCCGGACAGGGAACAGCTCCGCCATCTCGCTATTTACCCTATAGTGGCCACTATTGTTAGCACTGCTAAGGCTCTTCCCATAGAGGCCTCCGCTTCGCTCCCCTATAGCGCCGCTATTGACTACTCTGATATCTATAAGTGAGAATGCTAAGTACTCAGGTTACAAAGTGTGGAGAGAGAACTCTGAGAATTCTGGACTATCAGACTCTTTGAGTTGAGTTATGGGAAAAGGGTCTTCTTTAGCATGAAACTTTTTCTTAACTTTAGCACCGAGATAATATTTTACTTCGTACCTGACTGATGAAATTCACAAAGTTCTGTTCTAAGCTTCTGTTTATCTTCTTCCAGGTTACAGGCAAAAGGTAAAGGACATTGTTGAAGGTGCTTTATTCCCTGAAGCTGGTCTTGACAACAGAGTTGGTCATGCTGGTGGAGCAGGCGGACTTGTGATTGTCAGAGATATTGACTTGTTTTCCTACTGCGAGTCATGCATGCTTCCATTCCAGGTTAAATGTCATGTAGGTTATGTTCCTTCTGGCGAAAGAGTTGTCGGTTTAAGCAAGCTATCTCGTGTTGCTGATGTATTTGCAAAACGACTCCAAGATCCTCAGCGTCTCGCAAATGAAGTGTGTTCTGCTTTGCATAATGGAATAAAGCCAGCTGGTGTTGCCGTCATACTTCAATGTACACATATCCACTTTCCTGACATAGAATCTATCTTTCTCGACTCAAACCACCAAGGATTGGTTAAGATACTTGTTTCCGCCGGTTCCGGGGTTTTTGAAAACAAAAATGCAGATGAATGGGCTGATTTCTTTAATCTCCTAAAATTTAGAGGTATCAGTATGGAAAAAATCCATTCTAGAGGATCGTCGGACTCCTGCTGGTGTCCTTCTCAATCTGCCAAAGTTTCCTCCGAAATCGGACCGGTCAACCCTGCAATGGTCACTGCAGTAGCTTCAATTATTAAATCTTTGGGAGAAGATCCGCTGAGGAAGGAGCTTAGAGGAACCCCAACTAGATTTGTGAAGTGGTTAATGAACTTTCAGAACAGCAACTTCGACATGAAGTTGAATGGTTTTCTCAATGGTAGGATAGATTCTTTAACCGCGAATGAGAAGGTTGCCATGGAAAACAAGAAAATATGCTCTGAGCTGAACTTGTCATTTTGGTCACAATGCGAGCACCATTTACTTCCATTTCACGGTGTTGTTCACATAGGTTACCTCCTATCAGACGGGTTCAGTCCAATCGGAAAATCTCTCTTACAATCCATAGTACATTTTTATGGTTTCAAGCTTCAAGTTCAGGAGAGGCTTACCAGACAGATAGCTGAAACGATTTCGCCGCTGATCGGTGGAGACGTGATAGTTGTTGTAGAAGCAAGCCACACATGTATGATTTCTAGGGGTATTGAAAAGTTTGGAAGTAGTACCGCCACTATTGCTGTCTTAGGACGATTCTCGACAGAACTTAAGACAAGGGCTTCCTTCTTGCAGGGTATTCCAACTCCTAGTTATTTTTCGGAGCAATGATTGTTGTTTGAATGCGCTTGAAATAATTTAGCAGTAGCTCCAATTGTTTTGGATTTCTAAGTCCAATTGTTTTGGATTTCTAAGTTTTGAAGTTGCTCAAATTTAGTTTCAGTTTTACATAGAATTATAGCTAGAAGTTGTTGAAGAAAAATTGATGGAATTCCTCTTGAATCCATATTTTCATACTGGCCAACTTTGCTCATAATTTGTTGTTGTTTAAGTTTACTCTCATAGTTTTCTTGATGTTGAAGTTAGAATGATTGTGATCTATTTTGATTATTTTGTATGAAGGTTCTCAACATATTTTGCAATTTGCATGCAAATGGTTCAATGAAGGTTCTCAACATATTTGAAAGCAGTATGTACTTGGTAAAAAAAATCATATGGATTTCACTAAAGAGAGTGCCTTTAAGTAAAAGAGAAATGCTATAGACATATTTGAAATCAAATTTCAAAATCGGTTTTAAGATATGTAACTGATTATATTCCAGAAGTGATTATAACAAAATATAATAATTTATTATACTACAAACAATCCACAATCCGGAAGACTAAGGACAATACTGTATCACACATGCTGAGTGTTTCTAATTCAATTATTAGACAAATACTCCAGAGTTTTATACAGAAATATTCGTAGTTACCATATGTGTCGAATTTTATGCCACTCTATCTTGGGTTCCTTTTCATGAACTTCCATTTTCGGACGCTCAATCTTGGGTTTCTTTTTAGAAACTTTCAGATTTGGATGCATCTCATGAACTTCACTACTACAAGCTTGCGGTTGAGAGGCATGATACTGGTGCATGGACTTATTTTGTGCCAAGCCAATGGCAAATTCTATTCTTAGTATTAGCAAAATCATGAATAGAAATGCAGATATTTTAAAAACCTGCAAGCACCAACAGTATGAAAATGAAAATGAAAATTCAATGAGGTTTTGTTAACATTCATCTTGCACGCGATTTCACTCAGTCATACCTTATTCATAACATTGGGTTTCTGAGGAAAATTTCTATCAGCATGCTCAAGAGTATGTCTTAACATTCCAATTATGGAAGATTCTGTCACAGGGCCATCACAGTCTGCAGGATAATTAAGAAGTTGTGAAATTTATATTAATTTAACGACATCAAAGAATATTCAATGAAATCGATGGTTACAAAAAGTTGAAAGGCTACCTGGTATGTCAAAAATCTGTGTTGTTGGCGGAACTCCCAATAGCTCCCCCAAATATGCTCGAACACGAGCACGGTCAGAGAGAGATAGGAGATCTCCGTGAGTAAAAACAAGCACAGGTTTGTCATCTGAAGACAATAGAAATAAACTATCAGATTGACTACTGTTATGAACTTAGGCAAGATGAATGAGAAAAGCACATAAGCTAGTCTGGAAAATACCTTTAAATGACAGGAATGGGCAATTGAAGTTAGAAACAACTGTTTTAATATACCGAGCCTCCAAAGCACCCCCAGCATTCTTCATCGCATTCAGAATCGAAAGACCATTAAGGACATATATTACAGAATTAACTTTTCTACTCTTACTGGAAACGAAACCTTTCTTGTCATCTTTGCACTTCAAACCTTCACTCAGTCTCTGATTTTCTGTACTCCTGATAGAGAATTTGTAAAACGCGATGTAAATATTAACATTTGTATAATACCGGAAATGTTAAGTACTTAAATATTCAAACCTGAATACAAGCTCTCCATGACGAACACCTTTGGTCATCCAATTCTTCAGCATTTTGTTATTCTCATGAGAATTATCCGTCAAACTAGGTGTATCATACAGACAGATAGAATTTGTGTTTCTTGGAATCATATACTCATGGAGGAAGTATGTTCCACCCCCTATAAGTGAGTTATCTGGCATCAAAAGATAAATGCAATGAAAGTTTCTTAGGTCAATGAATAGTTATTTAGTCTGATCATGTATAAAAGATATGTTTATGGAATGAATACATGATACTTGTGCTCTTGCGGGTGCGAACTTGTCGTCATCAAACACCTTGGAGATTCTATTTATGAGACTACTTTTCCCAGATCTACTTGGACCAACTAATATGAGGCATGTTGTCTCTGGTACATCATAATCACACACCTTTAAGCCCCTGGACTTCCAAATCCATGTTCCAGGCCTATAGCTGTGACAATCAAACCACACTCACGATAAAACTCATTCTGATCAGCAACTACACGGAATTCTGAAATTTGTTTTCATAATTAACATGAACTACACAACACAATTTCAATTACAGACTAGAAGGATTACAAGTTTTCAGCCAATGAAGCCTGCAAGTCTTAAAGAATGTGGCAGAAACCTTCATTATTATGTAACAAAGCGAAAAATTAAGCGATCAAAAGTAAAAAAATTGATGCTTTTGAATAGAATCCTACATTCATTTTTTTCAATGAGTTGTGAACTATAAAGCAAGACACCTCTAGGAGTAAGCATGTCACGGTATCAGACACTTTTATGACACTGTCGGAAAAGTTACACAAGTGTCTCAAAAGCCAGATAAATGTCCCTAAAAAATGGTTTTTTCCCTTGTTTCAAGATTGTTAAAATCGGTGTTCAGCACCCGTATGACACTCATTCATATGTGTCCAACAATTTAGACAAATGTTCTTTCTATTTTCTTTGCTTCAAACACCTTTATCCGTTCTTTGGACATATTTCACACATCTAAAAGGGCTAAACATGTACTGATACATCTTTTGAACGTATTTCACACAAATCTAAAAGGGCTAAACATGTATTAAAGCAAAGTTACCAGTAAAGATGTTAAAACATTAATGTTGTTTAAAATATTTTTAACTCTTTTAATAATAAATTAATAAATGAAGCCCAAATAACATCATATCATATATATATATATATATATATATATATATATATATATATATATATATATATATATATATATATATATATATATATATATATATATATATATATATATATATATATAAAGATGTCAGTATCGGAGTGTCTAGTGGCCGAGTGTCTGTGTGTTCCTGTGTTCGTGTTCGTGTTGACGTTTGTGCTTCATATGTTTTGAAACAACAAAAACAAGTTGGAAGATTGTGCTTAATATTAAAGCATATATTGGCCAAACAGATAAAAACAAGAAAGTTTGAGTTCAAATAACACCTCAATATTTTTTTCTTCCCTTTTTTCAAAGTCTCAGTATCAATCTTCAATTCATTGAAACTTTGCAACATTTCCTGGTTGATACCAATTCTCTTCTTCCTCTCACTGACTACCAAATCAGCACAAGAAGTGTTTCCACTTTCCACACCAACTTGTTGAAAATCCAATCCATTATCTTCATCCTCCAGGCTCAGATTATCATCACTGAAAAACATTAGAAATCACAAAATCAGAATAAATAAATAACCTATGATCATCATCATTCATGGATCATGAGAGTACCTGGAAAAGGGAAAATCTTCATGTATACCTGATTGATCATTAGGTCAAACACAAGAACTCAATAAGTTTAACAAAAAGTAAAGGAGTGTTATTGGAAGAGAATGAAAAGGAATAGTACCATTAGAAGAAGAAACAATGGAACCACCACCCATGATATTGATGCGTTATGTTTTCGGTTTCATCAATTCAATGGGTTTTGTAGTGAAGTGGAGATAACTTTCAAGCTAAGTAAGAAAGAAGAAATTATCATGGAGAATATATTTATTTTAGTGGCTATTGCCTATTTAATTACTCATCACGTAAGTAGAACAATTCATCAGCTACTTCAGTTACAAAATCAAACCGATCTAAACTCAATCATCATGTTATACTTAATAAAAATATTTTTAATTATTTTATTATAACAAAATTTATTTTGATCCCTTAACTATTTTTTCGTGTAACTTAGTCCTTTAACTTTTTAAACATTATCACGTTTGTCATTTTGTTAATGGACGTTAGTCAAAATCAAAAAACAGCTTTCAAGTGGCATGTTACTTGATGACATGGATTTGTGGACTCCATATTATCGCGGTGGAAAAAAAATGAGATTAAGCTATTGATTAACTTAATTCGAAAAAGATAAGAGTCACCACTAACTTTATTGTTTCCAAAGGAAAGAGAAAATATCGAGAAAAATCAACGCAAAAAATAAAACAAAAGAGAAATCTGGATATGGGGGTTGGTTATGTAAAGGGAACATATTAGAACCTTTCACTTCTATGGTACTCCATAGGAACCTCTTGAAAATCTATGTTATAATAAAACCGGATTGTTTGCAAAAAGACTGGGGTGATGAGAAAATAATTCTTTTATTAGTTTTGTACTCGCCAAGACTTCAAGAGTCTTGTGCCTACCTATCTTCTATGTGCAATAAAGAAGTCAGAGTCCCATAGTTCAAGTAAAAAATAAACATAAAGTTTGTTGATTGCTTTTAAATTGAAAAGACATTTCGTCGTACTCGAGTGAAAAATTCAACTTACTACCCACAAGTATGAGGAGTGAGCATTTGCATCATCTTGATATGGAGAACTTTTACTTGGACTTTCTCACAAGTACGTCTCAATATTCAAGTGAAAAATGTCAATCACTTCACAACATCTTGTACAAGTATAGTGGTTTGCATCACTACCAGAATAGATTAATATCCAATCTTTGAGAAAAAGTTATGAAAAGAAAAGTGCACAAAGACACAAAAATAAATATTATGAGGTTTGTCTTTTTTAGAAGTTTTGAAATGAGTTTGAATATGTTTAAGTGTTTTAGCATTTATTAAGAAAAATGTTTTCGGGAGCACTTAACAAAGTCAAGGTTTATTAAGAAAAGATTTGAAGTTTGAAAATAGAGGTTTTGAAAATAGGGAGAAGTTTTGAAAATTGAATAATGGGGTAGGAGATGAAGAGATTATCCTAAAGCATAAAGTAAATGACATGAAATAAAAGGTCTCATTGTAAGATAGCCCAAGAGAAATTCTTTGTGTGTGCAAGTGTACTAATCACAAGATGAAGCAAGTATTTGATATTGGTCAAAATGAGCAGTTTTTTTCCTTTGGAGTAAGCCACAAGATAAGAAAATAACATGAGAGAACACATAAACAGATGAATATCAAAGTCACTGACCCACAAAGAAAGTTCCAAGTCTTTAAACAAAGATCAAAGTTTCTCAGAACAAGATAAAGTCTTGATTTAAAGTTCCAAGGTCCAGAGGAATCACAAAGTCTCATATATCATTCAAAGCAAAGGAAAGTACTAAGTCCTAAGGTCTACAATCCAAAATACTCCTCAAGCATGAGATAGTAACACAAAGTTCACAAGATTAGATGAAAGTTTTTTTTAGGGTTTTAGCCATTTTATTAATATTTTTTTTGTTCTTTTTGAAGCAATAAAGCAACAAAAGCAAAAAGATTAAAGGCATAAAGTAAAAGGAAAAATAAAATGACAAGAATGTAAACGACTTGAATGTAAATTTCATGAAATTAAATTGCAATAAATTTAAAATGCATAAAAGTAAGAGTCAGTACAATTAATATGTCAATGTTAGTGTTAATAAGGAATCAACCGAGTCAGGACAATTTAGCTATATATTAAGCAATCGTAAGTGGACTTATGTAGAAGTCACACCTATGTGAGGACGGTCAATAGTAATATATGTGTTAAACATGTTAGAGAAATGATACAAAAACCATCCTCCTAAAACAATGTGACACAATGATCAAAATAAAAGCAAAAAGAAGAAGATGGAGAAGGAGAGATGATCAAGCACACTTGAATTTGAACAAGGGATTATCTATCATCAATTTCAACCATTCAAATTCATAATACAATGAGATAAACTTATTGTTATACCCCAAAATTTGACCTCTCATTTATCAAATATTTCTCACAAAGATCTCTCTTGGTTCAAGACTGCACTAGGGTTGATCAACTCAAGACACCTCCTTAAGCAATGATGACCAAAATTAGGGTTTGAGATTGCACAAGGATAATTTAACTTTCAATGTCTCATGTGACTTTAATGGATCATTATGGACCCCTAAGGTTACTCATGTCAAGTTTCAAGCCTTGGATCACACTTTTGCGCAGTCAATAGAGTAGTTGACCTAAAAATCAGCTGTATTGGGGAAAAAGTCATTTCTGGCCAATTTACAGTCAAACTTCAAAAATTTTGACCCACATCAACATTATAAACTCATATGTATCATTTGATCAAGTTTGGACCATAATTCCTCAAGAATTTTGATCAGATCATCAAAAGGGCAAAATGGTCAAAATTAGGGTTTTGACTGAGGAAAGGCAATTTCTGATTTTTGACCTAGCAAGTGGTCAATTGGTTTGAAGCATGATCTCAAGAGTTCAATTGCATTATTTTTACCTAATGGCATGACCCAAAACATTGCTCAAGATCAATTGGATTGATAGTGAATTTTCAGTCAACTGATCAAAAGTCAATTGTACACTAAAAAGTCAAACTTTGACTTTTTTGGTCAAAATCCAATGTCAAAGATCACAATTCATCAAAAAATGTCAACATATGAAACTTATTCATCAAGAAATCAAAAAGTCAAGATTTCATTTTGAAAAGTCAAAGTTTTCTAACTTAGAAATTTTTCTAAGTGTTTAAAACTTCATATTTTTTCACAACTTTGAGCCAATTTTTCACCATGATGCAAGATGATTCAAAAGAAACTTTCAACATGAAAGTTGTAGATCTCTATGATATATACAACATTTCTTTACACAACTTCTTCTAAAAATTCTTGGATCTCAAGTTATTAATTCATAAAGTCATGGTCTTGAAATTGAACACTTGGTGAAATTTTGCCCTAGTTTTAGTCAGGATTTTGACCTAACTTCATGGAACTTTTTCATATAGTTCCAAGGAGAATTTTCAAAAGTGATTCAAAGAGGTGTTGTAGAGAACGTTACAAACTTTCCAAAATGTCCCAGAACTCCTTGAGATCATTTGTGAGCAAGGAGAATCGAAGAGATGAAGTTAGGGTTTTCAAACTTAAGTTACAAGCCATTTCATGATGAACAAAAAACTTCCTATACTCAATGACCACGTTCGAAGGCAACCAAGCGAGGTGTACCCTAAGAGTGCGCATGTGCGAGTGTGTCATTTTTCAGTTATTTATCTTTGTACATGTCAATGGGTGAGCTATGTTGATTTTAAGTTCATACATTTGATCTTGTCATGCATTCCCTATTATCAAACATCTAACAGTGTATAGTTGCAGAATTTAAATGCGGAAATTAAATCTAAACTATTACAAGGCGTCGGGTATTTACATCGCCAAAAACAACCCTTGAAATTAAATTGCGGAAAATAAAAGAAAGCGATAAAATAAAGTCCTAATTAAAAGCTATTACATTCCGGGAAACAATTACATCAATATGATAAAAGGATCGCATGCGAAAAATTAAATCGGGCGCATTTAGGGTTTTGACCCTTTTTGAAAGAAAGCATGTTTTTGGTTTATTTTTGAATTAAATGGAATTAAACTAAGTCAATAAATAAATAAATAAATAAATAAATTAATTAATAAAATATTTTTGGAGTTTTTTGATATTTAAGGAAATAAAATAAATTTGATTTAAAGTTAGTAAAAACCTAATTTTCTACATTGATTTTAAATATTGCAAAAAATATTAAAAGTTAAACCTAATTAAACTAAATTAATTGAATTAATTTATTTACAAAAATAAAGTCATGAATTTAATTTTTATAAATAAAATATATTTTTGTGTTTTTTATTTTATGAGGAAAAAAATGTAATTGGTTAGTGATAATAAAAATAATAATTAACAAAACAATTAAATAAAAAGAAATATAAAAGAGAAAAGAAATAACCCAATGAGGGGTTTGGGCCCAGATCAGGGGGGTGAAGCTGGCAATTCAGAGGCCCATTTGTGCAAGCCTCGTTTGACCTCCTGGAATTCCATGCACATGCGTTGACTAGGTCTTATGGTGGACTCTCAATCCTGGCCACCAGATCTGGCCTGGGGCCATCTGGCAGGCATCTGGGTGATGGTGTATGATAGGCCTTAATTGTTGAAAAGAGCTTGAATACCTGAAACAAAATAATAATATGCAATATGGTGGACCTGGGATTCGAACCCAGGTCCTGCTATTCATTGGCCAACACGTCAACCACTCCACCAACGCCTGCTAATTGTTAGAATAATAAACAAAGAATAATATATGTGAAAAACAAACAATATGCTGGAAAATAAAAAAAAGAGCGCGAAATACGAATGGACGAATAGGGAGGGGGCACGTAGTCGTCTTCTTCGTTGGCCCCTGGATATTTACCTGCGGATTTTTATCCGCAGCTAAATCTGTGGCTTGCTCCTAAAATGAATTCTAGGCCATGAAAACTCAAACTAAAACCACAACCATGCTCATCTTCCTCTCCTGATTTCATTCATGTCCATTATTTGCCTCAATTTTGCCTGAAACTCAAATGCCTAAAAACAAGAACCAAAAACCCTAGTTTCGGGTATGGCATTACAGGCTACAAACACACAATCAAATATTGCAGACAGTTTGGAAATCATACAAAGATCAAGAATATGTCCATGGTTTGTCAAAAAAATGCAAGAATGAGAAGTTT